ATTTCTACTCCCCCCTGGATGGGATGATAGTCCATTGCAGGGTTACCCCCAGCATTAAATTCGCCGGTACCCATTTATACACCTGGGTAGAGAGAGGAACTGTGAGAGTAAAGTGTCTTGCCCAAGGACACAACACAACATTATGTCCCCGGCCAGTGCTCGAACCAGGACCGCTCGATCCGAAGGCGAACGCACTAACCATGAGGCCACCGTGCCTTCATAGCTTGTCTCATTGCATGGTTCCAATTACAGCCACAGTCGGTCTGTGGCTACGATTGCCTTAGGGTTTTAACACTTGTCTCAAAATCTTTCAACATTTTTTGTGTCCTAAGCAAGTCGGTAGACTTGATTTACACGAAACAACTCGTGTCGAAGACTTGTCATAAGGTGCAACCAACGTTTTGCCGTGTATATTGCCCCTTTGTGCCGCAATTGGGATTTCAGACCGCTGGGGCAACCAATCAGCACAGTCCTTTTCGTTATGGACGAGCTTGTAGTTAAATACAGTGAACAAAATATTTGCTCTCAAAATGTACTTTTCTCTCTCTTTATAGGACCGTTGATGATCATCGTGGAATTTGCCGAACACGGCAACCTCCTACGTCATCTTCGTGATCGCCGAAAGCAAAATTACGAAGACATGAACGAATACAGCTTAGACATAAGTTCCGCGGAGAGAGTGAGGATAGCTTGCGACGTGGCCGACGGAATGAAACATCTTGCTACGATGAAGGTACGTCAGCGTTGTTGTTTTTGGAAAACAATTATTTTATCACAGCCTAGTCCGTTGTACTTCTTCCTTTCGCATGCAAGCGCGAAGTACATGCGAGAGCCTGGTAACAGGTGTATATCACTCAGTCGTGTTGTGACATTTGGCGCCAAATTGAGTGAGCGGGAAGAGAAGACCTGGGTACTAGTATCCTTTGATTCTGGTCAAACCTCGTGATTAAGGAACTTGAATAACGGAAATTAACTGAGAGCAGGCAAATTTATCATTACTTTGTAATTTGTACTGCAGTGTAAATTAGTGCGCACGCGCTCATAATTTTCTCAGTCATTTAATGAATAAAAATCGTATGAAAGCTCAGTCGGGCAACTAGTCAACTGAGCCTAATGGCTCAAGCAATTTTCTTTATCACTCTTAAAGGGGCTCAGTCACGGTTTGCGGATATCGAAAAGTTTAGCGTCAATTTTTCAAATTCGTCGTTTGTAATCCGTGTCAATCTTCTCCTTGTTCCTTTATGGTTTATCATTTTCTCTTTGGTGTTTTTTTTATCTTATTAAACTGTTATTTTCAGGTTTCCTGCCATTGAAAGGTTATTTTGTATGTGGCCAAAATAACTCAAAATACCGTGACTGAGCTCCTTTTAGTATATTTCCCTGTCGCCATGGTATACAGATGTTTTAATAACTTTTATTTTTGGTTGCAGTGCGCTCATAGAGACTTAGCCGCGAGAAATGTTCTTCTCGGAGAGGGAATGGTAGCCAAAGTCTCGGATTTTGGTCTGTCACGTGATATCTACACCGACAACGTCTACGAAAAGAAAACCGCGGTAAGAAGATCATCTATAAATCGCTCTCATGATTGATGCAATGATTGATTATTAGTTAACTACATGAAATTTAAACAGCTCAGTGTATTAGTCACAAACGTGTACACGTATTGCCCCGGTTTCCTTTATTCCAGCATTTTTGGCGCGAAAGGAATAACGTGACGTTAAACATACGATATAGATAGGTCATAGTTTGCAAAGTGATTGTGTTACACTCGAGGCGAAATAAAGAAGCGAGTTGTTCAGTCGACAAGGAGAACGTTGGTTCACTACGAGTGAGTACTTGATGAGTTTCTGTGTTTTCTTTTACAGGAATCGCTAAGCTTCAGAGACATAATTGTTTGAATCGGATATTATCATTTTATATGTTCAAACATTCCAGTGGAACATGAGGCTGCCTGGCTCCGCTAGCCTCTATGGTTATTCCAGGCAGCCAGTGCTCTAATTTCTAATTTCTTTTTTTCTGTAATTAGTACAAGGCAAGAGAGAGTGCAAATAGAGATTGTTGTTGTAGCGTGAACGATGGTGAAATTTTGACGTAGTACGGTGCAATGAAAATAGCAATGAGCTTATCTCATGTTACCAAGTCGCTTTTTTTCTTTAACACTTTTCCTTTCGTAGTTTTACTGAGCACGAAATTATGATCCTTTTTAGTTGGCTTTCACAAAGTACCGTAAATCCTCGAATTAGCTCCCCCCTCGAAGAAGCGCTCCCTTCGAATAAGCGCTCCTCCTATCGGCCGAGATTTAAAATAAGCGCTCCCCCCCTCGAATAAGCGCTCCCTCTTCCCTCCCCCCTATTTTGTGAACGAGTAATGTGACAACAAAGGATGTATAGTTTTCGTCATGTAGTATTAGATTTGTACATTGTTTCAGTTTGTGGACACGTTTAGTGAACACGTTAAGTACTAACGGTGCCGTGATTTAAACTTTAGGATCAGCTTTTATGTCAATAAACAGCTCATGTTGTTGTTTACGCGCAGATGATGCATTAGAAAAATGATCATGTCAAGCCACAATTTGGGACAAATTAAATAAGCGCCCACTTGAATAAACCGCCCATGTACAAACGCCGCCCTCGAATAAACGCCCCACCTGAATCACGAAATATTTAATAGACGCCG